CCCCGCTCAGGCAGCAACCCCCCCAAAGCAGTAAACCTAGGGGAAACACTGACATGCATATAGAGAGAGAGCTTTTGAATGGCAATCATAATGACTATCAATACCACAGCTGCCCCCCACCTCGGCCCACCACCCACAGGGGTGGTGACATTTATTGTGAGCCAAGCAGCAGGAAAAGGTAGGAACTTATCTACGCTGAACCTGGCACTGCAGTCCCAAAATAATTATGATTTCCTAAAGCATACATTCTGACATATTTGACTGGTAATATAAAATTGCATTAATATAAAGTAAAGCATGTTTTAAAGGATATTATAGCTCTCATTACACGGCAGCCATGGCTTTGGTAAGAGTTTTAGTGAACACATACACTGTAACTGTTTGGTGTTTCTACCCATGTACTGTATACCAGACTCTTGCAGTTGGAGTCATGCTGTTCATGAGTCATTCTAAGACTTTCTTAATGAGGCTTTTCACTTCTTGGATCCACTGACCAGAGAAATAGCATTCATTTCACATCATTATACTATTCTATAACCCACACACTATTAGACAGACCAAGCAGATTTAATTAAGACTGTTAGGAGCTGCATCCATTTCATTTTCTTAAGAACGTTTTTTAGCAATATCGTGTGGTATTTGGTAAAAAAATTGGACAAGTGGAAATAATATTGGAATTTCAGGGCCAATACGTTTTTTTTGTATTCTATGGAAAACAGCCAACAGTATTAACTCCTAACTATACAGTAGTGCACACATGAGATCTATAATTTGTAAAGTGCATTAACATTTGTGCGTGTTGTGTCAAGAACATTTGTTAGAAAATATTTTACAATTTCAGAAAAGAGGAAGATAAAATATGAGATAATGTTCATTCCCGTTATTGTATAACGATCTTTAAAAAAGGCCAACCTGTTTTGCTGAGAAAACTTGTTCTAGGGCAGAGGGCTGTTTCACAATCTTTATTCCCTCTGGGAAACAAAGAGCAGGGAAGCAGAACCAGTAGTAGAAGTGGTACTTCTTCAAATCCTGGAGGAATAAAAAGAAATAAAAAAAATGGCTAAAAGAGTCAAACACAAGGTAATTAATATATAAAACAAAACATGTATAAGATGCTGTTTATACTAACTGCAAAGGTCAGCAGGATGAATTTGCAGAGGATAGACGGGTCCTTCAACGCAGCCCCGGACTGTATAGCATCCCATATCTACAAAGCAAAAGGAAGTAAACAAATGCACAACTTAGTAATTTAGTCTTTATTTTACCAAAAAGATGTTGGGATGCGAATGTCTGGGTGGAAATCCCAATGTTTTTCTTTTACCTCCTTGGCCTCTTTCTCCAGCAGAGCCTTCTTATCGGAGGTCTTAAAGGCATCGAGTGTGTTGGTGTTATACAGCGTTCCAACAGTTGGACAGCAACGGGCTGGTGTGGGACCGTCCCTGACAGGAAAACACATCAGAATATTTGCATTAAATTGTTAGTACTAACTGTACAAGTTTGTTTTGACATGCTACATATAGATTCATTTAAGGTTTTCAATTGACAGGAAGGGGAGAGCTGTTCCAAATTGATTTGGACCCAAAATTGAGACCAATTCATAATTCTGTACCAATAAAAACGTTACTCAACTTTTATGAAAGCTAAAAAAAATTAGTAATATTAGATTGAATAATTTGACCTAAATTAAATTTTGACTTGAAATGATGAAGGCAAACGTGTATTTATTTCTGAACCAATTGCAGAGTTAAAAATGATATATGAAAGAAAAGGCATGAGAAACCATTCATGACTTAAATAACTTGTTGTCAACTCGATTAAAATAGGCATCAGTCAATTTGAGAGTGGTAGCAGGTTCCAAATTGTGTTTAAAACTTTTATTTTTTTATTACTTTTACTTACATTTGAAACATTCATTAAACTTAGGGTTAGGATACAGCTTACATGGTTTATATACGCACTATACTTCATCATACTTACACTTCAAATGCACTGAACTCCAATGTCAGGCGAGTGGGCAAACCAAGTGGGTCACCTATATGACAGAAATGTGAATAAATTAGTCATCCATTTTTCAAAGTTGTTATTTAAAATTCACTAATCCAGGCTACGAAATTCTTCTGGAACTATTTAAATTGTCAAAGTAAAACAACAGCCAGATAAAAGTCATCGAAAACTGATCTGATTACTCACCATTGTAGTAATATCCTTTGATACACTTGGGGCTTTCGTCCAATCTGTAGTCGTTGAGTTTCTTCTGAGTCAGCTGGTGCCAGAAGCCGGCCTCCAGAGCGCTGCTGAAGGGAGCAAACTGCAGCTTGAGGTCTGGAGTGGAGGACGCTACTTCACTGGTGTCAGATGCCATCACTTCACTAACAGTTTGAGCAGCCAAGTACGACAATCTGTCAAATTAAACAGTCTTAGGTTACACAATAGTTGCAGGCTCTATAAGCTGTTGTGACCTCAACAAACTTTAAGAACATTTCCCTCTGATGATGAAACTAACGGTCTGAACACATGCACAAAATAAGAACATATTATAATGTAGTAGCTGCTTAGCTCCTGACCTCTAATAGTGCAGTTTTAATATACAACCCAGTGAAGTAAACCGCAAATGTATTCACTTGTGTAGATAAAATAGTGAGCTAATTAAGTCAATTCAGCAAACAGTCCATTGGTATAGCACTGAAAAAAATATATGTCTCAACCAGTGCATTGGTTTTAAAAAAGGGTGGCTTTTGTTATGCCATGCATCTCTTACTATTGATTACAAAACTAAATAAATGCTTAAATCAATCACAACAGGACAAGGATGCATAAGGATGTAGGGTGGGATACATTGTAATGCCTTTGTAGGTGAATGTGTGATTTTGAACTTCACATGTAAAGCTAACTCGATTTGACAGTTATATTATAACCCTAAACATAGCTATTGTTAAACTGTAGCAGAGGGCATTATTGATTACAATCTACTGCCATCATATTAAATTAATCTTCTCTTGAGAAACAAATTATATATTTGTAGTTTTACACAGTTTGTAACAGACCCCAGTGAAAGCAGAAGATGGGATAACTTGAACTGCTCTAACGGGTTTTTTGTTTTGTTGTACACACGACGATTATCTATGAAGAAACGAATCACAATGCGAAATACCTGTAACTCAAACCAGATGCATTGGCTTAACATGAATTCATCTATGAAACTATAACTAGCTGAGGTGTGTGCACTTACCAGAAATCCTTACTTCCTGGTGGAGGTGATCATGTGATCGCGGGACTTGTCAACAGAGCTGTGCATTGTGGGTAAGTAGCCTCACAGTGTAGCATAATATGCTAACGTCAGTGTGTGTATCTCTTGAGTCTTTCTTATGGTGCAAGAGTAATTGAGTAAAATATAAAAAACCAAAACAGAAACATAAACAGCAGCACGACGAAAAACGACAATACGGACAAAACCTTATACGCGCCGTTTCTTTTCATGTCGGACTGAACAGATGTATTCGTGAGGTTAGGGTGCGAGCCACGGGAGGAAAGTGTCTCAGGCGTTAAACCAGTACAACCGGTTTAAAAAAGTCACAAACGAAACGGTAATGTATTCTTAAAGAAAGAAGTGCAAATGGGAAAAATGTAGTTGAATCAGCTAATAGTTACTAGCTCATTTTACTTGATTATAGCCACCGGTAAAAGGCTTCATCTGGACCCCGGACTATGAGACATTAGGGGCTGTCTCCAAACTACACAGTTGCACAAAAACGCACTATTCTAGTTTTAGTTATTGTTGTAATTCTTCTTCTCTGGTTTATAAAGGCGTCCTGCAAAATGCTGCATTACTGCCAACTACTGGATTACAACTATAATCTCCAGCACAATTACATATTAATAACTGAACTCATGAATGCCCCTTCTCTCTCAGCTGCTGCTGCTCACCTATCCTGGAAATACCTACACCACATGAAAATATCCTTTCTGCATCTAGACTTGCGTACATTTTCTCAGACTTTATTTTATACTCTCAGTCACTTTATGACTATTGCCAGTAAAAGCCAACCACATCACCTGATCCTTAAACAAATCTAACCTCCTCATGCTTCCTATCCAACCCAGGTTATCGCTGTCCCCCTTACTCTCTTTTGACAGTTGGCCTCCCATTTTGCATGATTCCATTTTGAGGTTCATTAATGCAATACGGTAACATAGCAAGACTCCTATTATTAAAAAAATAACAATGTCTAAAACAAATAAACATACAGCCCCCTTTGATACCAGATTGCTATTGTCTCTCCTTGACCCCACACCGTCATCCTCCCTCAGAATCGTAAATGTCTAAACACTGGTCTCAACACTTTATTAAACAATCTCCACCTTCCAGCAATCTTAAATCAAAGCATCCAGAACTCAGCCACATCTCAAATGATCACATCAAATCTCAATCTTATAATGTACATTTTCTTTCAAACCATGATGGACTAAATGCTTTTTCAAAGCCTTTATTTTTTCTTCAATGTGCAAATTCAGTTTGGTTGTTTTAAATTCAGTGGCATTGTGTGAGGAGCTGTATTAGGTTGAATGTAACCATGATCTAACAGTGAAGTAGACTGGGAGCTGCTGGTCGAGGCAGAAAATTATGTCGGTCCCATCTGGTCCAGTTTAGTTGTCACTACACCGGTGAAATGTATCAAGTACTGTACTTACATACTTATTTGATATACTATGCCTTGCTACAAAACACAAATAAAGTTCAAAGTTGTACTGAGTGTTTTCTTTGTGTTTAATGTGACTACTTCTACTCAACAACATTTCAGAGTGAGATATTGCACTTTTTTTACAACATTTATTTGAAAGCTAATACTTATATATAATATATAAACACTTGAAAATGAGGGTTTTTATTAATTACTATTATTTGACTATGAGTTGGTTGACAATCATTTCAGTCAGTATTCCTTTAAAAATGTTAACAGCATCTCAAAGATTAGGGTTTTCTCCTTTAAGTACTTTTGACTTTAATACTTTAACTATATTTTCCTGATGCTTGCATATTTTTACTATTTTCAAATAAAAATGTAACTGTACTATTGTAATATAGCATTTTCACATTATGATACAAGTAAAACATGAATATTTATTCCCTGTATATTTATCAAAGACATAAAGAGTCAAATAAAGATACATACTTATAATTAAATTAATGTTATGATCAATTTCTGTAGATAATTTGGAATTTGTCATATACATTTCCAAAAATATATGGTGTCTTTTTTTCTCCCGTTGCTCATATGATAAAGTTGATTGTCAGTCTCTCCTTCACACTTACCTTTGTGATTGCTCTTCATTTCACTTACAGTAGAAAAGCCCCTTTTTCATATTGAATGATTTAATTTAAGTACACACTTGCACAAGTCACAGGTACATGTTTTCCTACAGAAGTTAAAGGGGAGGTAGGTAGGGCTTTTTAATTTGGATTTGTTTTTGAAAATGTTAGGTCTATGGTATACAGGTAGTTGCAGGCATATGTGTGCAGTGCCCACTCAGTGAAATCAGCTGCAATCTACTCCTGCTATTACATATCACATACAAATAAACATTTATTTCACAAATCCTGTGGAATTAAAAAAATGGCCATCTCTATAACAAGCGCCTTTAACACCCTCAATGTGGCAAACTGGACGCACCTTTGTTTTTTGGCAGACAATAAACTGTAAATCCCCCTCCATAAATCAGGCGCAATAAAGGTGCAAAGGTCCTTCCTTATGTTTCCTTTTCAAATAAATGAAGGAGGACACTGAAGGTGATCATTTAATTTCTCATTAATCATAGCTTGGCAGGCTTTCTTGGAATAACAGCAACAAAAGAAAAGCACCTATGCTCTGCACTAATATACTAGAAGATTTGGTATGATGTAATAACTTTTATTTTAACGCCAGCCTGTGCCTGTAAGACCTAAAATGAAGGAAGATCTAAAGAAATGTCATCCATATGCCCAGTGCTATTACACTTTTAGGCTTGACATGCCCCCAAATCAAGCTTTCTACTTGTAAGAATGAAAAAGGTGTTTGTACAACTGAACAAACAGCCCATATTTTACATTACCATTCACCTTTCTACATCTTTTCTTACCATTAGTGTTGGTTTTGGCAAATCTGAAAGTGCTTGCTATGTTTGCACAATTCAATCAATGCTTAGCAATTTTTGCAACCTACAGTGTATTATCTATCAGGGTAGCGTCCACGCCCAGCCAGTCATCACCGTTACCCCCATTATTGAAACAAGGGCACAGCCGGTGCAGAGTGATTTCACTGCAGATCGAATGAAGGCTGCCTAAGGAATTTAAAGGTGTATGTATTCAAGGATGGATTACCAACTGGCCAATGCAGGCTACTTCCCCTTACCTCCAGCCTTTTAACAAAATGATATGTCCCATTTTGAAGGTGCAAAATGTTATATTGCACTCACATGCTTCATATTCCTAAATTAAGGTATGTTTAATCAAAGCATTGACTTGTTGACATGAACAAAACCTAAGGCCAGTTAGATAATGGGTTTTTTGTGTCATAAAGCAACAACAAAAAAAACAATGAGGCTGTGTTCTATAGTCTGAAATGGATGGTAACTTTGCTGCAGCAGGGGCTCCCCAGAAAAATGTATAGTGCAATGTTTGTAACCTTCATATACTGTACATCATTCAATATTCAAAACACAGCACAAGACTTTTAAGTATTGCCCCAATTTAAATTGTAGCTTTTGTAAGTGACTGCTATCCTTCAAATGCCCTGGTAGTCATAAGAAGGAGGGTTATGAAAAGAGAATGTGATTATTATAGACTACAGACAAGACATTTTCACTATTTTGCCAGGAATGAAACTCTGAGGGAACGGAATAGCAGCTGGAATTTATCGTGAGAAGTCTTCAAATTGAAAAACCATTCTTGCAGAAATGCCCATAATATTGAACATCATAACATTCAGCAGCCTCATGTTGAGAGCACTGTGGGACAGGATATGCAGTTGAGCTATCTTAGAAGAATATGTGAGAAGTTATTTTGTAACTAAATAATAGCAGAATTTCACAACTAAAGTTAGAATAGGTAGAGATAAAGTTAGTGGCTCCATCTTGTTGATATAGATGTACGGGAAAGATGACAGATTGCAATCGCACTTCTTCCAGCTCCGTTCCACCCCCCTCTGATTTGTTTGATTTTGCTTAGTAGTGACTCACAACCCGTCTGTGTTCACTGAATATGGTGATATATATTTTTTCTCTTGATCTAGTTTTTCATGGAGTTGCATGTTAACGTATTACAGCCTTTTTTCGATTCACACAAGTTGAAATACAGAGTGCCTCTCATGGTAGACAATCTGAAAACATTTATTTAACATTATGGGAGTGGTAACATGTTTGTGTAGCATCATTAGATTTTGTATTCACAACAAGATTGCAGGCACAGCCTTTTCTAATGCCTGACATAATTGTGGTGTAAAGCTTGAATCAATACAAATGCAATATCTGAGACTTACATTTATGGTGGCTTTTCCTCAGCATTGTGGAATGATATGAGGTGTTCTTTGGCTAATGACATGAAAAGAGCGGCTGAATCACATCATCAAGTAGACGCATTTAAAAAGGTTAGCAATTGGTTGAAAAGGTCTGTTTGTTCCTCTTTGGTTAGAGTGGTTTTTGTTGACTGTGAAAATGTTCTGTATGACGAACCCACTATTAAGCCAGTATGAGTATAAATAGTGTATACTGTTGATGTAAATATACATCTCGAGTTAAAGCTTTGTATTTGGCATTCAGTCTCATTTGACTCAAAAATAGTAAAGAGTTGACAAAAACAAGATAAAACAAGACCAGAAGATTTTAACAGAATATCATGAACATGGTTATTTTAATGTGTGAAAACACAATGAAATCTTTTTTAGGTTTAAGAAAAGGGTAAAATAAAGGGTCAACTGAGAAGATCCCAAATCAACCTCCCTGCTAACAGCCCAACAGATGATTTGAAAGGAAAATAATGTTCCAAATCCTTTTTTAATGATGAGGAAACAGTGTAAAAACTGCTCACAAATGCATGTTTGTAAAATGTTAAATATATAATGTATAATGTTACATCTCTGTACCATTTATAGTGCATACAAATAAATAAAATGTTTTTCTTCAAAAATGCATTTTTGTACACAGTTTTCCTCCGCTCTGGACCACAGAGCAAATACACTAGATTCACGTTCCTTTTCACCAAGGGTGAGAGATCAGATTATTTTTGATATTTAGCGTCTCTGGTCTTAGACATGCTTTGTTAACATAAGCACAACATAGACAAAATAAATAACATTAACGTTAGACATCTCCCCGAGCTTTTGCCATGGGTTGGAATTGAAGGGGAATAAGTTGTAAAAATAAGATTCACAACAAACAAAAATAACTGAAAAATACATTGTTTTCATCTGCATTTACAAAGCTCATGTATCCAAGGGTGATTGCGACATTGAATTGATGCAACAGATGTTTTCTCTATACTGTATCTGTGTATATCAGCAGCACATTGACCCCCATGATTCTATTCTACTTCTTTATTATGTAACTATCAGTCACAATCAAATATTGAGAATACTTTTGAAGACTCGCTTGAAGTTCCCATTGCACAGTGGGTATATAAAAGGGTTGAGAGTGGAGTTGATGTAACCTAGCCATATTGTGAACATGTGAAGGTCATGGTGCACACACTCTCTGCAGAACGCCATGACCATGAAAGCTATGAAGTATGGTATCCAACACAACAAGAAAGCAGCAATTATAAAGCCCAATTGCTTGGCTGCCTTGTGCTCCTTGTGGATCCTCAGGCTTTGGATACGCTGACGTGATTGGTCAATAAACCTTTGCCACGTCTGTCTCAGAGTCACTGCATTTGCTGATTCCAATGTGGCATCTTCAGCCTCTTCTTTGGTCCAGGGCAGAGTGTGACTGGGGTCGTAGTTGTTGTAGAGACCGGAGGTGTATCTTTGCACATCTGAAACCTGGTTGATATCACAGACACCACTCACTGACTTTGTCACTGTCACGTGACATTCATTTAAAGACGCTTGAATTTTGTTCTCATTATTCCCCTCTGGGCAGTTAATGTCCTGTGGCACTGCAGGTTGATTCAGAGGAATCTCAGTGTCTGACTGCTTCTCCTCAGGAGACAACGAGCAACCTTTGACCTTTTTTCCCATTCTGAATCGTTTGGTTGTCATGGCTAGCAACGACGTATGCTGGCGCTTGACACCAATTTTTCTGTGTGCTCTGGATAAAGACATTTTAGTTCTTTCGAGATCTTCGAGGGAATATGGCTGATCTAGAGTGTTTTGGTCCAACAAGCGTTGTTTTTTAGAGAGTTTCATTGGAACGTTACATTCCCTCTTTGGTGATTCGGGGTCATTTTTTACAGGCGTCTGGGCATTTTGTCCATTCTCATTTTCCCCAAACGAGTCAGTCGGATGAATGATTCTCTCTCTGTCTCTGAGATGTTGCCGTACTGCCAAGTAGATGTGCGTGTAAAACCACAACATCAAAATTGATGGTACGTAGAAGTTAAAGACGGCAGTTACAACCTTAAACCACGTGACAAAGCGGAAGTCAGTGTCACACTTGTTCTCCTCCTCAGGTTTAAGGTCTACATGACTGAAAGACCTCCATCCTAAAATTGGAATAATCCACATCATGGACAGCAACCACGCTCCAGAAATCATCACAGTGGCTTTGCCCCGCGTTCGATATTTCAGGTACTTAAGCGGCTGTCTTACAGAGCGGTACCGATCCAAACACAGAATAAACAAGCTGAAAATTGATGCTGTGCTAGCCACATAGTCCATTATAAGCCAAAATTGGCAGACTGCCCGCCCCAACTTCCATTCATCCTCCAACAAATACACAAGGTTTAGAGGCATGACTGTGGTCCCTACGATCAGATCTGCCACAGAAAGGCTGACAATGTAGAGGTTCCCGACAGTGTGGAGGCTCTTCTCTTTCTTCACTGCGTAGAGGACGAGCAAGTTCATCAAGATGGTGAGAAGGGAAAGAAACCCCAGGCTGATCCCCAGCAAGGCATTATGAAAGCGGCCATGGAGGGTCAGGGTGTGATTGCTCCTCAGATCCTCTGCATCGAGGAGGCCAATCCAGCTGCTGTTGCTGTTATTGACATATCTTAGTGTGTTAGGGTTGAGAGGGTCTGTGGAAGGGGACAGACCGGACTCCATCATGGTAGGTGAGACTGTCACCTATAGATCCAGTCATATCCTGTATAATCGTAGAAGAGTGTGTTTTAAACCGTCGACCAAAACATACTCATGTCTCAGTTTGGATCATTCACTGACAGCCTCACTATCAGTTCATATGTTTGGTCAAAGGAGGGATATCATCCAGTTTAAGGCGTTAATCATTGTGGTCTTCATCTGTAGTTCATTCCAAATTTCACCTGGAAAACATAAAGCAAAGAAGATTCAAATGTGTCATATATATATTTCCTCCTACTGAAAATGAAAGTCCCTATTCACACAAAATGTAAAGGTACAGTTGCTGTTATGTTCAAAACACACATTAATTTCAGCCAGTCTCATGATGTCTGACTCAATAGACCTGTTTACTGTCTTAGCTTCACAGTTTGTGGGCTGGTAGGTATAACAGTGTTGGTACTGTAGGTAGTAGGTACACACTCCAGATACCCCTTTGTCTCACATCATATATATTAACATCAAGTTTAAGATTGTATAAGACATGCAAATGTGAGCATGATTTTTGGAATAAATAACTGTGTTTGGAGGCCAATCATTGTCTAATATACAACTTATTAAAGTGTGATGTGCAAACTGGAAATTCCCATTGCTCACACATTTGGAAGTGTTGACATCTTGTGTCATCTTGTGTCAAGCAGGTAAAGATTTGAAATGAAAAATATGTGTGCATTAATAGGTTCTGAACATTTCAGTGAGGTAGACAGAGTAGATGTTATTGTAATAGTAGAAGAAATATTAAAGTACCAACACATGTAATGAATACATGTAATGTATTCAATATATTGCCTGAGTAAAAGCATTATCAGCCAAATGTATGAAACGAGACAGAGACAATCTGGGTAATTTGCACCTATAATCACTTATCTCAAATTAATAAATGTTAAAATACAGCTTGTCACATCCTGTTAACCTATTCCCTTTGTTGGTATGTACAGTATTTATTGGCCCCAATATCTCTTGCTCTTTCTCTTTCGCTGTCCAGCTGGCTTTCTTTAACACTCACACAAAGGGGAGGATGGCAGAGCGCATAAGCGGCACAGCAGACAAACTGTCTGTTTGGAGGAAAGAGGGCAATAACCACATTTAATAACATATTTAAATCTGTAAAGCACAGCAGAAAGTCTCATTTTAGAACATATCAATAAGCTACCTTTAGTTGATCAATAATCTCAACTTTTGGGGTATTAATTTAAAAAGAGTGAAATAAGCCAGTTGCCATGGAGGCAGCTGGGTCTTTTTTTATAGACTTTTCGCTTCATGATAAATCGTTGCCCTGAAATACGTCATTCGGTCTCTTAAGGACACTAACTCAAACCTAAGTATGAAACATGAACAACAAAGAGAAAACATTTCAGATTTTTGAAGACCACCACCATACTCTCATATTGAATTCTGACAACAACGACAAACTCATGTCACGGTAGACAGCAAAAGCTATCCTGCAGAATGGATAAATAAATGAAAAATACAGATTATGGACATGTAGGTTTGGCATGTCATGAATAAGCAAATGTACTGATATGTAAATATCTAATCTAAATCTTAATAATTCAAGGAGGGGAACAGAGGAAGGAAACACCTTCCTTATTGATTAGAACAGAACTCCTGTAAAACCCCATTCTCTACTTAATCACTATTTATCCAGCGGATATGAATTTTCTTTTGTGCCTGCTTACTCACAGATGACTCATAAAAAACAGAAAGGGTTGAGTTCTTAGTCTGAAAAAACACCTCCCATCCAAGAGTTTTTTTTTATCAGAGCATCCTCAGAATGTGACTCACTCTAACTGTCATCATTGATATCAAAATTAGTATTAACATTTCCTTGCTCTCATCAAGTCAGTGTTTACATCTTGTGGCTCCACGAAATTCAATAATTACATGTAACTAAGCCAGGGAGACTGCTCATAATGGAGGCAATTAACAAACTATGGCGCTGTGGATGTTGATGAATGTTGAGTAGCCTTTCAGATGTAATTAAATCAGGTAGAGACACTGACATATTCCAACACTCAAAGCTTTAGAGTGGTGATAAAGAAGTTGTTATGCCACATTTGAACCAATTACCGTGAAGGCACAACTGAAACTCCTGTACATAGGGTATTGTACATTTATGCATAATATTTTAAGCATATACTAGAAATGTGTGTGAGATGAATCCACCCAAGAAGTGGAAACGTTATTTATCATTAACTTGGATGAATCTCTTTGTCGTTGAATGTGGATCTGAGCTGAAATGTGTGATTGTAAACATGTTCTCTCACTGGTTTCATATCCTCAGTGTTTATATTACAACTGTCTCTACAACACTAACATTTAGGGAATATATTAGCCTACTCACGAAATACTGTTGCGTGTTTTCCCTGCATTTGAGCAGAACGCCTCTCATTGTCGCACCAGAATAGGACAGGCTATTTATCCAACGCTAATTGTTCAATATAATTATCTGTAATGACCCTTGCCTCCCTGATTTCATTACTAAAGAGCGGGAACACACATTCATATTTTGAAACCTGGAGCCGCTTTATCACAATGAATAATGCAAATTAAAAAGTGCAGGTCGGTGCGCAGGGAACCACCTGTTGAGCCGCGGCTGCCGAAAACTTTTAGGCTTTCAGCTCAATCGACAAACACGTCCATATCTTGTTACAATGCTGATAATGAAATGTTTTTTTCAGTTAACTTATTATTGTGAAAAATCCAAAACTGGAAGTTAATGCTTCTGGCCAGTGAAGGTAGACTATTTCTAGACTTACCAATCATGCATGAATTTCCAGGAAAGTCGGTGTTATTCCAGCTTGTATTCCGGGTGAAAATCAGAAAACGAGTGAGGCTCTCCCTCTTTCTTTTTTTTTTCTCTCTCTCTCTCTCTCTCTCTCTCTCTCTCTCTCTCTCTCTCTCTCTCTCTCTCTCTCTCCCCCCCCCCTCTCTCTCTCTCTTTTTTCTCTCTCTCTCTCTCTCTCTCTCTCTCTCTCTCTCTCTCTCTCTCTCTCTCTCTCACTCTCTGTCTCTCTCTCACAGACTTTGGAGTTCACATGATATCCTGGTAAACCACTGCAGCCATAAAAAATAACTTATTACTAAAATGGGTTTTTACCTTATGACGTTATGCTCCCTCTGTGTATGATTCACTGGACAGATACACCCAGACAGTGAGCTGCGGTTGTAACTCCCTTTGGTCATGAACCATAGTGTTATCTACATTACTTATGTGTAAGGTACAAGTCAGTGGGATGAATTGCTCTCTCATTCTTCCTTACATACCTGTATCTTAATGTTTGGAAGCGTGCTCTTCATCCTTAATACTATAAAAGCAATAGTCTTATTAAAAAACTATTCAATACATATTATTAAGAAGCCTTGTAAGATTGAGCATATACATTTTTGAATGTCCTGCTATGAAAGTAATCATTTGATATCCTTTTTTTATAACATTATGGAAATATTCATAGAGCTAAAACAAATCCACTTTCACATGGGTACAAAGGTCTTATTTCAAGACATTAGTGTGACCATGATTTAATAGATGTTTGTGGGTTTGGCATACATAAAGCTTAAAAGGGGATTACAAGATATGTATTTCCATTGTTGGGGTGTAATCATTGATCAAGGCTAACATTCATTTTAGAAGTATTTTACGTTTGGTTTATAAAATAATGAGGAACCTCAGCACTCAGTGTGCTCAGCAGTGGAAGTTACCTTCCTGATGTTTTAATTTCAAAGCACACTGCTGTAAATGTCATCAAGATTATCCAGCAAGCCTAATATTACAGCATGACGTGATTTGGGTTTGTGACACGCTTTCAGGAGGATTTTGCATTTTATTTTTATTGGATTCCTCACCTGAAGAGCCACGGTCTAGCTATACGTCTTATTTCCTCCCAAGCCAAATGTGCCTCGCCCTCTCTCCAGTTTATGAGCATATTGTATTTTTATATTAATTTCAAGAACACTTTATCTGAGGAGGAAAACAAGTATTCCACTGCACTTCATGTTCAGTATATGACAAATAAAAACCTTGAAACCCAATTATGCAGAGCAGCAAGTCACCTGAGTGCAGCTGTACTCCGTCACAATTCTGTCTCAGCCTAGTTAGAGACCAGACTTAAAGGTCACCTATCATGCTATTTTTAGGCAATAGCATAGGTCTCAGATATATACAAATATATAAAAAAAATGTCTATGAAGTGTTTTGCTCAAAATACCAAACAGATCACCCATTCTAGCCATGCCTCATACCCCTCTATTTCACTTCCTGTTTCAAAAGTGCTGATTTTGGGTATAAAGCTTTAAAAAAAAAAAATTGATAAAAATAAAAAGCTTTCTCTCTTGCCGGTTATATCACAAGGTGAGTTCCTTTTTATATCCAGCTTCTTCACACACATGCTCTCCAGTACAGGTTAGCTCTGAGTGTTAGCGATGCTAATGTAAATACGTCCAAAACAGTCTGGCATTGTTTCTGATAGCAACTTTCTGATAGTGCCGTGGGTCCACATTTCCGATATTACTTCATATCGGACGCAAATCTGGATCAGCTCCGTCGAACCCCCGTTTTTAGAGATTTGGATACGGAGGAAAAGAGAGAGGGTTTTGTTTTCTGACGCTGCATGAGTTCCCTCGCACACCGGGGACACATATATAAAATACATCAAAAAGTGCATTTTGCATGATAGATCCCCTTTAATATTTTCATTATCCTGATATAACAAATGACTTATTTGCCTGATGCTGTCAAATGTGTAAAAGCCTGTGGAAGAAAATATATAATACTTTTAAACAAGGGAAAACAATGTTGACATGAAGTGTACAATTGAGCACAGTATGTTTTTATACTGTATTCTTTTTCTTCCCCTGACTGAATTAAATGTTAAATTGTAAACTTTGATCAAATTGTGCAAGCTGTTGTTTGTTTAGCCAAATATTTAGCAACAGGCAGTTTTTGAGTGAACAGTTACTATAACTTGCTATATTTATTTTTGTTTTACCACTAACAGGTCATGTGATGATACCGTTCCATTGGCTGAAGAAGACTAAAACCACCAAAATGATAGGTGAACATTTAAGCCTATATGGTTTCGCTATGCATAATGTTCTTTGAGGTTCCAAATGAACTTCTGTTGTTGTGTAATGTGATTGTACAACAAAATAATATAATGTGATTATATTATGTCACAAATGCTTGCGCTAATTGTCTGCTCAGCATTGTTTTGTTTTAATTCCTTGCATTTTACATGTCTTAATTTGCATGTCGCTTGCCTCAAACCTCTATGCTTTCTACCTCCTTCAACATGCTACTTGGCTGCACTCTGTTGTTCTAATGTTACATGTTGTTTGCTTTATTTGTTGTTCGATTTACAATGTACTCTGATCAGGAGGCAACATTTTCAAATGAGCCTTTTGGCTATCAAATGCTCATTTATGAAATAAATCAAATATACACTAGTATTTAGGACAAATTACCCTTTCAGAAGTCCTAAGTTTAATGACCATAGCTAACACCAAACATGAGCAGCTGAGAGCCGGCTTCAGACCCCTTCCAGTCACTTTTAATTGCATAAAAGTGTCTTGCAGCTGCTGTAGATGGCTGCATTGATAACTAGAACATGGAAGTGTAGCTATTATTTGACTAAACACTGCGGATAACTGGTAAAAAATATTTTTCTGTATCATTTTAATCGTCAAGGAGTCGTAACAATATTATTTACATTAATATAGGTAATCCATATTAATAGCTCGGGTGAGAAGAATTTCATTGCAATTTATACACTGTAGCTTATAAAACCTTTGAATCTTGAATCTATATGAATAGCTCCACGCACTTACACAATTCCTTTTGAATTACTGTGGAGATGGATATAGTGTTGCTAACATTCTTGTTCAAACCCTACTGAAGAAAACGGAGGGGGAAGAGGTGAAAAAGAAAGGGGGGAAGGAAGAAAGGGAGAGAGGGAGTGTAGTTAAAGGGAGAAATGGAGGATTGGATAAAAAGGAAGGAAGGTTTCAAGAAAGGGACCAGTGTCTGTGTGTTTGTGTCTTTATTGAGGAGAGGATAAGGCGAGAAGGAAACAGTTACCTAAATAGAAAAAATGTGTCACTAAAGGAACAGAAGGTGGTGACAGAAGTGTCCTTATGACTCCTGGATGCCCTTTGAGAAAACCACAATTTTGACAAACACCATCAAGTCGAGTAGAGCCGCTCTGTGCCAAAGAGCTTGAATGGATTCATGAAAACAGGAAGCCAACCGGTGCTGACAAACTGCCTGAGGGTTTTAAGATTAAAACTTGGTTAGATTGGACAAAGACATCATCAAGGGTTGATAGGTTAATTGAGCAGCAAGGGATTTCATATGGGTTGATCAATATATATAATCTATAATTCATACAAAACTTGGAGTAAAATGTAAAACCCTGATCCAAACTGCACACCAATTTGACTGATATGAATGTGCAGTATAGTGACAATATTTATTCTATTCGTGCTCAAAAGATTTGTGAGTAATTTGATTTATTTTGTGTTTATTTTGTGCTCACTTGATTGTAGTGCCTGTGAATACAGTACGCATTGATGTGAGGATGTTTGTGAATGAGTGCGTCACAGGTCTTCCTAATTTGATTAGGGCCAATCTGTACTATTGGAGCCCATAATAGCCCGTAATTACAGAGTGTAAGAAAAAAAACAGAGCAGTTACAGCGCATTGTTGTGTGGGTTAATTATATCTTTCAAATTAAGCCAGATGCTTCTAATGGAAGTAAATGACTGCCCACGGTCATCAGTGTTATTATTTTGTGCCTGATTTTCAAAAATAATTTGCCAAAACTCCATGTCTATGTGCCTCTAACACCGCAGCTATTGGGATTGGACCGTAAACATTTTCTGTGAGCATTAACATGCTTTAAGTGTTTGTTTTTCTCAATGAGACAAAAAATATATTATCCAATTTCTCTTCTCGTCCTTTCCATGGCAAGGCTTGCAACATGGCAGACCGTGTTTGTGTATTGTAGGCCAACAGGGACATCTGCTGGTCAGGTTTATTTCTGCTGAGATACTCCATGAAAGAGGTCTGGCGGTGTATGTGTGCTATATGTGGGTCATTTACAAGCTAACAAAACAAATAAAAGCTCTCTTTATTCCTTTGAATCAGCGTAACCTTCAGTAAAGCCTTCGATATCTCAAGACCAGTCATATAATCTCCAGTATTAAACGCACTGGCAAGTAGATCAGAGTCTCTTGTACATAAATGGAGGAGAACATCTCTGGCTAATCTCCCTTCACAAGTGGGATTTACTCACTGTTAATACTGAGAGTTGACTCAGTTACCGTTTGTAAACAAACCCCTCAGATGTCAAATGTTAACTGTGGACAGAAAATGGTGGCTTTATAACAACTCAAGACTGCCAATCAATACATTTATTTCGTCCTCCTTTCCCCATCCTTTACTCCTCCTCATATGTTCTTCCCTCTGGCTCTCTGTTCTTCTCTCTTTTCTCCTGCCAATTTTGACACCACCTTAACTTTTTCTCTGCAGCTGCTCCTTCTCGTCCAATTCTTTCACTTTGTTTATGGTGTTTTTGCACATTCCTTATGAGACTCTTAATTTCTTTATTTTTTAACATTGACACAGCAAAGTGAGTTGGTAGTATAATGAATTTCGATTTTTTACTATATATATCACATCTTTTTTGGTAATGCATTACCAGCTTGTTTGTAATAGTAGTTGCATTTTATTTCATCGGGCTACAATTATTGATCATTTTCATAATAGATTAAACTGCAGATTATTTTGTTGGTTAGTTTTTAAAACAAAGATAACTTATTGTTACTCAGAGGCCAATGTGAC